AAAATTAATAAAACATATCAGAAGCGGGTCGGGTTCGGGTTTGGAAAACAGACCTGTTTGCAAAAACAGGTCGGATCGAATAGTTTTGAGTTGGACCCGAACCCGGCCCGTAACCCGGTTTTGACAGCCCTAATGCAATGTCAGAAACATATGTCCATGTTGTGTTTGTATCAGTGCATCATTGGTTAACAACATATTTCAACATTCTGTAATTGTTTTCATTATAGGAAGTTCGTGTGAGATTTGCTGGTTTTGGTCCTGATGAAGATGAATGGGTCAATGTCGCAACGGCGGTTCGAGATCGATCCATACCTATGGAAGCTTCAGAATGCTGGAGAGTTAATGAAGGAGATATTCTTCTCTGTTTTCGGGTAATTTATTGCTATTTACTGGACATGATGAACTTCAACAACCAATTTCTCTTAAGTTTCTCTTCTTTCTGTAGGAGAAAGATGAAACTGCCTACCACTTTGATGCACATGTTGTTTCAATTGAGAGAACGAGTCATGATATAAGGGGCTGCAGCTGTACCTTCTTGGTACAGTATGATCATGACCAGGTTGAGGTAAGTAGTTTTAAGATCTGCTCATAAACTAGAATTTGCTTATTTCTTACTCCTAAGATTTCGTTTGGTACAGTTTTCTTATTACTTTATAAAGCAGTTTTTTAGTACAAAAATTTCTCGAACCATAACTTTTTTTACTAAAAAGCTGCTTTAGAAAGAAATAAAAATGCTGTCCCAAGACTTTACGTGCCTCTTTTATCATTATTTATGAAGATTCTTTTGGGGCAATTTTTTCATCTTTTTTGTGAGTAACCGCGGGTTCGAACGGGTCGGTACCAGTTTTGTGCCAAACTAGTTTTAAAGTGAACCGTAACCGGCTGGCAGCCGATTCGCTGTTCAACTGGTTGAACCGGCCGGTCCGGTCCCATTTTAAGAGTCTTGCAAACAACTACCTCCGTTTGGGGTTATTAAAGCTCCATAAAAGCATATGCAGAATTGTTGTTAGAAAATATATATCTCAACAACTATTATAAGTATTATAAATATATTTTTTAATTCAGACGTCAATTTTCCTATGATTATCACACTATCACATATCTTAATGCAAGCAAAAATCTGCCTGTCATCACAAAGATTTTTAAAAAGATAGCAAGAAAATTATAGCTAAGAAGAAATGCATCAGCTATCTAAGGCTTCGTTTGTGACGGCTTTCTTATTTCTTTATAAAGCAAATTTTAAGAATAAAATTTTTTATCTTGAAAAATTTAACTAGAAAGTTGTTTTAAAAATAGTAAAAAAGTTGTCCCAAATCAAGCCTAAGAAGTACAATGAACTATTATGTGCGGACGTTGAATGTCATCCAGAGCCCAATGAAAATGTGTCACGTCACCCCCTACTCGATCGGTACTGCTCGGTACCTAGCCGAGCTCGGTACTGCTCGGTACCAAGCTCAGTACTGCTCGTTACTGGATGATGTGGCTGCACCTAATTCGCCTCTGAACGATAAGCTGTGTCCGGTGTCTGGACTCAATAAGCTCTCAATAAGTACTGTTACTGGTAATATTCATATGCCTTTCTCCGCTCTATCTAATGCATTTTTTTGCTTTGTCCAGGAGAACGTTCACCTAAGC